AGTCTATTAGAAGAAGATCGAAGGTCTTTTGTATGACTCGTACATAAGTACTGAAAGTGTGGAGTGAGGTAGCTTGGAGCGTTAGGTGATTGCAACAAAGAAAACAGGGTTGTTAGAGCACGGACATCTCTACGCTTTCGAATAGGCATCCATTTCAAAAGGGAGCGATGGGCAGACACGTGGTCGTATTTACGGAGATTGAAAACGAATCGAATGCAGTTGTTTAAAACACGGTCAAGTTTATTGAGTAGATCTGCATTCAGGTCGAGGTAACACACATCACCATAGTCGATTATGGGGAAAATTAAAGTCTGCACAAGCATTGCCTTGGTTTTGCTAGGTAGAAAATTTTTCAAGCGATACAGCGCACGCAACGTTCCAGTAACTTTTTGACAAATTGTAGTCGTTTGAGTCTGCCAGTTCAAATTAACATCAATGTGAAGTCCCAGGTCTTTAACACTATCGCTAAACGGTATTGAGGAGCCGTCATACAGGATAGAATGGAGATTAGTGCTGTCGATCCTACTCATCATCACGCGGCTGCCCACAAGTATAGCCTGACATTTCGCCGGGTTTACATGAATGCCAAAATTTTTAGACCATACGAGTATTGTGTTAAGATCCCTATTTAGTGCATCAATAGAATATTGAGTTTATCTTATTTACGCATAACTATCATTATTTAGAAACTTTTCCTATTTTATGATTGCATGAACACTCACGATTTATAATTTAATAATACCGGTATAATGAATCTGAAATATTTTTTAAATGTATTGTATCTATGATTGTTGAATGTAATTATTTTTACTAATACCTAGTACCTATTTACCTTCGACCTTTTAATGTGAATAAGCTGGTAAGTATATTGTTTATTCAGTAATAACTTTAAAAAATAAGCAAAACTGTGAAATTATGTGGGATTAAGCACTCTAAATTTTTGATTATTATTATATTTTATTACTATTATTATCTTTTATTCATAGAGGAGACAGCGTTTGGTCTTTTTTTCTACCCCGCAAGGCTTTGATAAATAGAAATCTTTAATTCTATTTGAAACAATACCAATGTACAAAAGGGTTTCGGGTTATTTATCAAACTTTTTAGTGGTAATTAGGTTTAATGCTTCGATGATTTGGTGACAGTTATGAGTATTACGTTATTGTAACCACTTTGTATGTGAAGTGACATAAATAATGTGGGGTCCGTTCTTTAAACCTTCGAGGGTGACCTTTTTGACAACTTAAATTAGGCTAAAGGTTTTATAGATGAAAACAAAGAGGGTTTACATATAATATACTATATATAGGTATATCGTATAAGAGTTTTAGCTACTGATATTAAGGAAAATGACGAAGTAAGTATGTATAACATAATTGATATCAATACTATAATAGGGATGACGACTGCAATTCTATTTAGTCCGTCAGTCAGAAAATAGAAAAATATTAGATACTTATTTTTTTTTTACTTCAATTTATCGAGAAATAGCTTAGATAACAGGCATTAAAGTTGAGTTGTGGGGGCTTGCTACGTCACAGTTTTGTAGAAAACGTACTATAACGTGACGTCGTGCGAAATTTCAACTCCATGTGTAGCCGTAATTTTATATTTTTACCGTAAAAAAATACGTGTTTAATATGTGTTTACAACACTCTTCTTGACGGACAAACAAATAAAAATTAGTCGTCATCCCTATTACTGTAATATCATAAAGAGAAATTTTTTTATTGTTTGTTTGTATTTTTGTTTAATTTGTATGCAATGGTATTTATTTGTTTATTTAAGCTTTATTGCAAGAACAGCAAAAGGCGGACTTAATGCCAAGGGCATTCTCTACCAGTATACCAGACAGGACGTAGGAGCAAAAACATGTACGGCGATTAAAAAATGCAGAAGTTCGAAAAGAATATCTTTATACCTACAACTCAATAATAAAAATACATGACATTTAAAGATATCAAGACATACTGAACATTAAAATACTTTATATATATACCTATAAAATAAAATAGTATATGCTATATATAACGTCAGTTTACGTATGGGAAAACTATGGACTATTTAAATAGTGACCAACGAGGTAGTCTCTTGAACACATCTATGCTTTGTGCTTTCCGAATATGTTCTGGTATTTATTCTGAAAAACCATAATTATTTGTAGTTTGCCTAATCACTACAATAATGTCAGAATAAGGTTAACTTCATGAAATTAACTCAATTTTGTCGTCATATTTATATTCATATCTCTGGAATAATAAATCTAATGTTTAAGTCTGATTTATTATGTTCTAAATACTTAAAATATGAGCAAATCATTAATTAAGTATGTAAAAACAAGTTGCGAAGTGAAAACTCTATAATAATACCAATTCCTATTGTTAACAGTAAAGCTTACCGTATATACACCAAACTTTTCCTTCTAAAAATAAAGAAAATGAGATTTTAACTTTATTTTATATACCTATTTGAAAAATGTAAAAACTAAATTTTAATATTAATTTTAGAGAATTTAACCATACATAAAGTATACACTAGAAAAATTAATAAATAAACATTAGACAACATACATTTTTCAAAATCCAATTTAAGCAGCCATAAACTCTTGTGCCTATTAAGCTCGAAAACGGTGAAAATGCTTTTTTTTAAAGAAAAAATACCCCTCGCCTTTAATCACAATACATTCCAATGGCCCAACACATGAATAAGATACTATAATATTTTCATATCAAGCGATAGTATTTTGAAATGGTTTCAAAATATTATTGTATCTTAACCGTGAGTAAAATATTCGTGTAAATCAGGGATAGCGACGGTACTACTACACCCAGACCCGAGACAAAAGCCCGGGGCAATTACTAGAAATTATTAATACTAGCTGTAGGTATATGAATGATATATAAATATTATACAGATTAGGCTCGAATCTATGATTATTCCAACCGGGGCAAAAATTTGATATTGTCCTCTTCGCAATATTTTATAGTACCATAGAAGCTACCATTTTTTTGCAGTGACTCCTTTCTTTTATTTTATTTATGAACTATGACAACATGTCAGTCCCATCGTAGCCAATTTTGTGTTGTAACCATAATAGATATATAAATTTCATTTTCTTTGCACTATTACTGCTGTGCTACTTTTATGAAATTGTTATGACACTAACGCACTTTGTGTTTACATATGCGAAATGTTTTACTTAAAAATATTAAATCCACTCCAAGTTAAAGCAGGGGTGTGTTCAGATGTTAAAAAAGATCTTGGTCGCTGACTCCTGCTCGAAAATGTATGACACTTGAATGGCATTTCAATTAAGAGTATTTTCCCGCTGCTTTGTCTTCTTGACGCCAAATATTATTAGCACAATAGCGTTTTAAAAGTAATGAATTAATAATGACTGATTCTTTTGTGATATTTGTTATATCTGAAACGTCATTGACACGCCGTAATAACGTTAACATTACCAGAATTGAGGACATAGTACTAATTGGTGGATGTAAACGACTGCATTTACAATCAGAGACAATGGCTTAACGAATCTAATTTTTCGGATACTCATTCGTTTACAGGCGTTTGCGAACGTTGCTTCATCATTACAAACGCAAACCAAACGCACTAACCGCTAAGCCTTCGAGATTTTTTTTTTAATAATGTCAATCTATTTATTCAAATTAATTTTGAAAGCGCACATTAATTTTATTGTTTACTAACTACTTCAGACATATTACGTTTGTAACACAATTAAATTGATAAATGAATCTAATAAATAAGCCACGACATTGACATGACTGAATATTGTATGCCTGCCTAATTGAGTATAAATTACGTAACATTTTACTTAATTGTTGATTAAGTAGGATAAACAATTTACTATGAGTGTGTATTACCTAGGTAGGTAATGGAAATCTAGATTTAATAATGACGTAAATTGAGTGATAGCTTGCGTTGCCATACGTTCCGATATACGAGTATATTGAGATCTATCGTTACCGTTTTTGAGCTCTCTGTTCTTTCTAATGAATAATATAAAATGTAATTTCAGTATTCCGTTTTAGATATAGCTATTCTTTAAATTTTAATATAAACTATATTTTTTTACGGTACCATAACCTAACATTAATAACAATGTAAATACTAACCAAATTTGGAAGAATGTAATTTAAACAGCGCAACTGCTTCTAGAGACTGTGAAGTTAATTTAACAATGTTAAGCAGACGCACAGAATTCTACCGCTACATTAAAGGGCATTCAGATTTACTTTGGTAATGTGAATTACTCCGAAAGGTATTGGCATATTTATACATAATTGGAATTATTTTTTAGCAAGTACTTCTGCAACTGATTACAAAATAAAGACAAGATTGCTTTTCTCAAAATTGTATAGGTATAATTGGTTACGAATGTCCTGACGAGATCATAACTGAATATGGCAACCCTACCTATTATTAGTTGTTATTCAACATACATTCATTACAATGTAGATGGATTGCGCTTTATATTTGATTAATTTGTTTCATATACAGAAATTAATTTTCATTTGATTCATTTCTGTGGTCGCCCGTCATTCAGTCCTGTGAAATTTAAAACATCCGTTTCAATTAAAATTGAATATACTGAAACTTGCTATTTTATTTATTTAATTACTAGTTCTTTTCAGTGATTTTGATCCCGATTGTCAAAAGAAAATAACTTATGTACCTTCAGTACCTATCATAAATACTAAACTTTAGGAAGAATAAGTATCAGTAAAAGAAAAAAATAAGCCATTTTCGTCTTTCACTGTGGAGAAAAGATACATAACAATGGATATTCCACTGTAGTGTGATGGTTTTTAGCGATATAAAATAGTAGGTTAGTGTTATTCTCTAGCTTTCCAACTAGATAAAAAACCAAAGAAGACTTAAGAAATATTTTTCACAACAAAAATAAACATTAGAGTTGTTAGGGAAATCAGAATGATGCGATGGGGACGTTTTCAATCGCTATGTTGTTGTTGCAGAAATGGAGTACAGTTACGAAGAGGAAGAGGGTAGTGATGTGGACAGAGAGTTGCGACCGGTCGCACGTCGCACAGCCAAGCATATTGCGGCCGGCGAGGAGCGACCACGCATCAACTCCAGCCAGCAGACCACTCCAACCGAAGGTAACTCATGTATAAGTTATAGGCTTTCATCATACTTATACAGGATCGTGTAGAGAATCGGCTACCACCAGGCTTAGTGTGAATTGTAGGGTGTTAACAACGGCGGAAGTAGCTGGAAAATAACTCTGTGCTATGTCTTCATGTGCTTCTTAAAGAACGCCAGGAACTCAAGATTATAAATAAATAAATAAATTTGTCTTGATTTGTCTAGCTTTCGGGCGGGTCCGTGTCGATGGAGACAATCACACGCTATAAGGATACAGCATAAAGCATTTCATTAAGTTGAAAATAAAATCAGAGAAACTAATAGGGGATTCTACTCTGTGTGAAATAATACTTGTTACTGTATACTTTAATTTAAAAAAGTAATAAATCAAATATTTCGGGTAAATAAACATAACACGAAATCAAAATTTAAACTATTTTTATACCTGCGAAAACGCAGTCAATCATATTCATGACGTCATTGTAATATGTACACAAAAACTTAACTCTAATAATATGTTATTACAAGTTTAGTAACAAATAAATTTGTACTAAACTTATAATTATTTTAGCTATCTAAATAAGGACCAACTACTATTTACGCGACTGCGCGACGCAAAGGAGGGTAATGTGTTTATCAGTCTATGTATGTATGTTTGCTTCTATGTGGCGTTCTAGAGACCAAATGCGTAGACCGATTTTGATGATTCTTACGTCAATTGATTTGTCTTAACCTAAAGAGCGAGTCTCACTAAAGACATGATAGTAATCATAATTCACCACAGCGACAACCAGACGCCATATTGTCAAAATGAAAAAAAAAAGAAATCTGTGAACTAAATCAAGTGGGGTGTCGTTGAATAGGTATTTTAAAATCATCTTTAGGGTCCTTTTATCATTTTTTATTTTAAATAATAGTTTAGGATATATAACGATTTAAAGTTGTTTAACAAAACAATCATTCTCGCTGATTTTTTTACTTATTGATTTAAGTTTTTATTTAAAGTATAAACAAATCATAAATTTTAAAGCAGAACAGAACGCAGAAGCAGAAGTTTTATGTATAGAATAAATATAAATATAAAACTATTTCAATTATGTAGTTATTTAGAATTACTTAACAGAATTCTAAACTACTGGGCTTGCTTTTTCTTTTTAGTTTTTGTTTTAGTTATTTTTTTTATGTATTTTTTAAAATTCGTTTTTACGCAGTCGGGTTTTTCGTTTTTCTTTATTTATTTAACGCTCATTTATGATTTACTTATGTGTCCTATGTTATAGCAAATGAGTACCCAAATTAATTATCAACTGTTAACTTTTACATTATAATTAATAACTTTTAATTACACTGCTGTTGGTCAATGTAATCAAACTTGCAATGTTATAGATTAAAATGTTTCCAGAAATTTAATTTAAACTCGTGCGTTGCGGTTGTTGTTCCGACTTTTTATTTGTGGAGGGGAAATCTTTCTATAGATAGATGCTCACGGCAAAAATTTTCAATAACATAGCCACAACTATAAATTAAAAGTGAGATTGATATATACAATTTTTTTAAAATGTTTATTACTATAACTAGAGTGGTGAATTAAGTCTATATCTCTAAAAATACGCTAATTCTTTGAATCCGTGACCTAAGTAATAATATTCTTAACTTAGCGAGACATCGTTAATTATATTGCCGTCTGTGGTAGTCTAGTCCGCTTCACGAGACACACTGATAATTTACTTATATCATAACTTTTATTGCTTCAGTAATAATAATGAATTTATTGTGTCATGATATCAACTATAGGTTTATCATACAAGTGATAAACCTATCATACATTATCTATGCTATTCGGTTAAAAACAGCCACATCTATAGCATACAGAAAACCTACTACAAAAACTAATACAGCTTTTTTATTTAACTTCTAAGTCGTGATAGCGCTGCCCTCGACGAAGAGTTCGAGGCTCTTCTGATAACAGTATAGCACTGCTGGATTTGACCAATTCATTAAATCTTTCTAAGTATAATAGCTGCCTTTTGAACTAATCACCATTTAAATCTCAAGGCTTGTGTTGTCAAATATGAATTGTGCAGACGACGGCGACCCAAAAACAATTAACTTTCAACTGAATTTGAACAAAATTACAACCGAAGATGTTGTAACTAATAATTAGAAAACTACAATACAATATATTTATGTGAAAGCCGAACATTGATTTATAAATTTTTCTCGGTAAACATCACCGCTATTCCTCCGCAATTCAGCGCTAAAATTCACAATGTTTTTAATTTCTTGTTATTTTTCATAGGAAAAATTGATAAATATATTAAATTTGTAGTCACTTTGTAGCCAAGGTAATTAAGCAACACTTTTACAAGAACCGTAGTAATTTGGGAGTAATCTATACATATATAAAAGGAGATGTCATGACTTACTGACTGTTAGACACGCACAACCTAAGCCGCTGGTCGTAGAAACTTGAAATTCGGAGAGAAGATTCCCCTTAATACGTAGAGGTGTACTAAGAACGGATTTTTGGAAATTCCATCCCGAAGGGGGTCAAAAAAGGTGAGAAAGTTTGAATGAAACTTCTTTGTTTATGGACCTATGTCGATCAAAATTGGTATTTGATTAGTTAATGACCCTAGGAAGGTAATATGTTATATTTTAGCTCGAAAATTAGCACTTAAAGGAATAAAAATGGAAGTAAAATATTTTATGAGGAATCATAATGTTACCATAGCAACCATTGTTTATAATCTGATTTGTCAGTGTAATAAAATAACCCAATAATATTTACAAAATATTTTATTGTATAGCGATGAAAACTTTAATTTCAGAAAATATTACATGTTTTAAATTTAAATGCATAAAAATTTTCAAATTCAAGTGATTTTGTTTACGAAAGAAAAATTAATTTTATATATATTTGAACTACACTAGATGGCGTTAAATGAATTCTAAATCACAGATTTCTTCCTTAAAAATTTACCTAGAATAACGTTTATTGAAAAACTATATGTTGCACTGTTAATAGAAATATTATTCCATCATCAGCTCTTTTAACTCCCTACTGCAAGAGCTCACAGGCCTGCCATGCTGGCCCAATGCTGATTGGAAGGTATTAACGACTGCAAATGCTTCCGGGCTTTATGTGCCTTCCAAAGCACGCAAAGTAGCTTGAGATACTAATTTTTTTGGTCACTCATCCCGTAACTGACCTTCGCGAAAGTTGCTTAACTACAACGACCACGGGCCGCGGCGCTTATCCACAACGCGACTAAGTTCCTCAAAAAATGAATTATTTTTATTAGACTCTAAATATGGATTTATTCATTTTAAAATCACGTTATCGTTTTATTTTTCTACTAGCTTTTGCCCCCGAATTCGTCCGCGTGGTAAAGTTACTTTGAGCAGCAATTTCTAACGAATATTTATTCAAAATACCTGAATTAAAGTTTCATCCCCTATTTTATCCCCTTAGTGGTGGAATTTATCAAAATCCTTTCTTAGGGGATGCCTACGTCATAGTAGCTTTATGAATGCAAAGTCTCAGCCCGATCGGTTTAAAATTGACAAAGTTTCATAGAAAATTTTATCCCTTATTTTATCCCCTTGGGGGTAGAATTGATCAAAATCCTTTCTTAGCGGATTTCTAAGTCATAACATTTACCTGCATGCCAAATTTCAGCCTAATACATCCAGTGGTTTGGACTGTGCGTTGATAGATCACTATGCCAGTCAGTTACCTTTGAGTTATATATATTTAGATTCATGAATTTCTAGAATGAACAAAGTGTAAAGTGCTGCCAACTTAGATAATTTTTGCCGTACAGTTAACAGCACATCTGGCTATGCAAAACTGTCAAATTTCTCCTATCATCAGCCATTTTACGTCCCCACTGCAGGGGCTCAGGCCTTCCTTATGGATGGTTAAGGAGGATAGGCCATGACCCTCCACGCTGGCCCAATGCGGATTGGAGGGTATTAACGACTGCAGATGCAGTCAGGACCAACGGCTTAACGCGCCTTCCGAAGCACGGAGCAGCTCGATATATAAGTTTTTTGGTCACCCATCCTGTGACCGACCCTTGCGAAAGTTGCTTAACGACAACAATCGCGGGCCGCGGCGCTTATCCACTACTCCACCGAGCTACTCTCAAATTTCTCCATTTCATTTTAAATCTTAAAGTATTGATAGTAGAGTAGAGAGTTTTAAAATAAAATGTAGTAAGAAATTTAAGCTTTACTACATGATGTTTATGACAAAGTAATCTGCGCTAACGTTTCTATCAAAGAATTTTGCGTACATTACGTTTCGATTAACTTTTGTGTAAACTTCAGAACTGTTTTTCATCAGTACTTCAAATTGGATTGGATTGGATAAATATCTCTCAAGGTAATTTCAAGAAAAACAACAGCATTATTGGAAAATACGAGGGTCAAACTGAAAGTTCTTAGAAAATCAAAAACTGATTACATTAGCCAGTTATTAGTTTTATTATATCTTTTCAAAATATTGTCCATTCACGTCAATACACCGCTGCATGCGATGGAACCACTGGGAAAAGCACTTTGCCCACTCGTCCTTAGGGGTCTCTTCAATGGCATCGCGATACGCAGCCACCGCTTCTTCAGCATTCATAAACCGCTTTCCTTTAAGTTTTTCTTTAATTTTTGCAAATAAATAAAAATCACAAGGCGCCGAGGTCGGGGCTATACGGCGGGTGACCCAGTAATTCAACGTTTGATGTCGCCAAATAGTCGATCGTTCGCTTGGCGGTGTGCGACGAGGCGTTGTCGTGGTGAAGGAGGATCTCGAACTTTTTCCAAGACAAGTGGCTAACAATTGGTAGTGTACCATTCTGCAGAAACTGTTTTTTGATCCTCTAACACAATTGTTGCAAAATGACCTATCCTTCCAAAGAACGAGGCCACCATTTTTTTTCCCGCACTTCGATCTCTCTTCACTTTAGTTGGCAACTCCTCGAAAGGAAACACCCACTGAGCAGATTGTCTTTTGGTTTTAGGATCATAACAGTAAATCCAGCTTTCGTCACCTGTTAGTATGTCGAACACAGCATTTGAGTCACCTCCGTTAAATCTTTCAATCATTTTACGACACCAATCCACACGATGGAGTTTTTGAGCCTCAGTCAAATTATGAGGTATCCACCGGGCGCAAAGCTTCCTGACCGCTAAATGTTCGTGGAAGATTTTGTGCACTTGACTCATACCGATGCCTAAGCTTGTCCGAATCTGTTGATAGGTCACTCTTTTGTCAGTCTCTATCATACGCCCGCACAACACAGATGTTATCTTCAGTCGTCGCCGTAGAAGGCCGTCCCTCACGTAAATCATCAGTGAGATTAGTGCGACCACGTTTAAACTCATTAAACCACTTGTAAACAGTCGCACGAGATGGGGCTTCATCGTGAAAGGCCAATCGTAGTCTATCATAACTTTCTTGTTGACTTAAATGACATCGAAAGTCATAAAAAATCATTGCACGAAAATTTTCTCGTGTTAAATTCATGATGACGTGACACAGACAATTTTCAATTTGCCGCCAAATCGTAAAACAAATGACAAATGAATGAAATATATACTCAGTAATATTGGCGAAGAGTTATATTTTCAAATTTTAGAATTATTTTTTTATTATATTGTTTATAAGTGGCCAGTTCTAAGAACTTTCAGTTTGACCCTCGTATATGCTGCCCAAAGTAACTATACCACGCGGACGAAGTCGCGGGCAAAAGCTAGTTAACAAATACAGTTTTAGCCGCATATTTCACCTTCGTCTGTCCCTGTCA